CACCACCACCACCACCACGCCCCGCCGCTGGCCACCACCACGCCACCCGCCGGATCTGCCATCGGAGGTCACCTCCCCACTGGATGCGCCGCCTCCACGCTGCTCCTCCCTGCCGGATCCACCCGCCGCCGCCGTGGATCTGATCACTGGCGAGGGAGAGACTGAGGGAGATGAAGAGGGGAAAAGAGAGGGAGATGGGGAGAGCTAACCTACCTCGGACCGACACCGGCCGCCGAAACCCCATCATCGCCGGATCTGAGCCCCAGCAGTCGGATCCGCGCGTGCCGCCGTCGCGAGGACCACCCGCCGTGGATTCGTCGGCCTGGAGCTTGCCTTGGCCCTCCACACCGGCGGGGGAAGAAGGGAGGGGAGGGGCGCCCGCCAGGGAAGAAGAAGGGGAGGGGAGGGTGCGGGCAGTCGGATCTTGGGAGGGAGGAGGAGAGGGAGGGCGCGGGTGGATCTGGGGAGGGAGGAGGAGAGAGGGCGCAGGCGCGGTGGCGTTGGAGATCCACCGGGAGGGAGGATGAGATAGAGGGGGCGGGCGGATCTAGGGAGGGAGGAGGAGAGAGAGGGCACGGGCGAATCTGGGAGGGAGGACGAGAGAGGGCGCGGGAGCAGCGGCGCTGGAGATCCACCGGGAGGGAGGAGGAGAGAGAGGGGGCGGGTAGTTCTACGGAGGGAGGAGGAGAGAGAGGGCGCGGGCGGATCTAGTGAGGGAGGAGGAGAGAGGGCGCGGGCTCGGCGTTAATTAACGTGGTTTTTTTCTTTGCCGAGTGTCCTAGATCTGGGCACTCGGTAAAGTTTTTTTCATTTTTTTTCTTCTCCTTCTTTCCTAGAAAAAAGGTTTTATTTCTTTGCCGAGTGCGAACAATAAAACACTCGGCAAACCCTCTCTTTGCCGAGTGTTTTTTTGACACTCGACAAACCTCCTCTTTGTCGAGTGTTTTTTTTGCTCAGTGTTTTTAGCGCAGCACTCGGCAAAGAACTTGTTCGCCGAGTGCCTGAGGAAATACACTCGGCAAACCTAAAAACACTCGGCAAATTTGACGTTTCCGGTAGTGTAAGCAGTTCCCTATAAAAGGGGAACTCAAGCTCTGTACAAAGGGAGGTGGTTGAATATATTTATGAAACCCTAATCAGGCTTGGGCTCACTTTGCACCTTTCACACCTTCGCCCAGGGCACTCAGCCGGGCGATGGCCTCCGTTAGTTCTTCCTTGTCTCACCTACTGGAGATCCATTTTTGTACAGTTGGAAATTCATTTTTTCCAACAGTGCGCAAAAGAATTTGTGTACTATTGATTATGGTATATTCTAATCTAGAAATTATTAACAAAGATAATTAAGGCATATTCTAATGTAGAAATTATTAAGTAGGCAAATTATGCATCAATTTTGGCCTTCCCCATGCGCAAGTGGGTTTCAGTTAGGCCTTCTCCCGAATCGCTCCTCGCCATCTTCACTATCGAGCTTCTATACAAACCGATGGGGACCTCATTCCCTCTAGTACACGGTGGGCGGCCAAACCACAAGCACGGTTGGTGTGGTTTCACTAGACTATAAGCCCCTGGCCCTGAGTACAACAATGGTGCATGCAAGCACCGAGTGGATGCAAACCTCACTAAACACTATGCCTAAACCTAGAATGAGGGCACAAGCGGTGGTCTAGCGAACCTAAGCACCTCCCGCAAAGCATTATGCTAATCATGGAGTATTTCCTTAAGCACTATTTGTTTCAAGATCACTAGAGGGGAGCAATAACTCCCTTCGTATGATCCTCAGCTCCTACACACCTTAAATGGCTGATTGGGTCGGGTATTTATAGCCCCAACACTCCGTTGAAGGCAAACTACAGCTTTCTGCAGAGCATTGGATATTTCGGTGCCACCACCGGAGAATTCCGATGGCGCCATGTCAGTTAGCTGCTTGATTTTTACCGTTGGATCAGCCTACTTTTGGACATTGTTCCTGTCTGGTGCTTTCTTCAATGCCCTTCATCGGATAATTCCAATGCGGTCTGATCTTCTATGTCCTTCTCTGGAACTTCACCGAAAAAGATCCTATATCCGGTGCTCCACACAGGACAATTCTGGTGCTCCTTTTTCTTCTCTGGAACCTCTCTGGTGAGTGGTGACACTTCTTCTCTAGTGCGTCACTCCAATGATGATGTTTCCACTGTGTTAATGCTTATCCAGTGCTCCTGTAGTCGCAGTCACAAGAAATTTTTAATGTTGTCTGTACGCCAGGTCCTAGGGTTTGCTTGACCCTTTTCTCTGGTGCCCTTATAGAGGCAACACCGGACTTATCTAGTGCATGCTTCACTCTGCTCTACTTCTTTGCATCTTTGCGTCCATGTTGAGGCGTTGATCACTCCGATCTTCATGTTGCCTAAGTCCAAGCCAACCTAACATCCAATTGAACTATACCTTGTATACTAGCAAACGATATTAGTCAAATGGTCATGTTCATCAAACACCAAAATCATATAATGGTCCATGACTGGTACCATTTTCCTTACAATCTTCCCATTTTTCGTGATTGATGATAATACGACCAAAGCAAGCAGATAATAGATACCAAACGTAAAATGCAATCTAAATTCATTCTACTTGCTTGGATGCATTGCAAGAGCAAGATCATATATGATGCTAATTGAAATATGCAATGTACCATGCGTATATTACTTACCTTTCTCTTACCATATGTAATATGTTCCCTTATGTGGCATTATGGACTAAAGCGTCTCCCTAAATCCATGATCCACGTCCTCCCTTTCTAGAACCAACTCCCCTTAATCTATTATCCCCCATTCATTACCACTTGAATTTTTTTTAAATTGATTTTTGTTATTTATTATGGGGTTGGGCTTGCTTTTAGTCCTACCGATTGCCCCCCTATGGAATCAAACACCAAAAAGGAAGACATTATTAGCATAAGGGAGGGTCAATTTTATGTGATCCTTGATATATGGAATGAAATTGATCACAAAACATGACTCTCACTTACATATACTAAACTCCCCTAAGTGTATGCATATATATGGTGGAAGGCGAAACATATGCATAACCAACTATTTAAAGTACAAAGGAGTTTAATCTGCATATAATGCATGGAGAAAGCATATAAAAGATTCCAATTGAAATAGAAAAGTTTGATACTGATTTGTAGGGTATGTCATACAACTTGAAGGATATGAAATACCACTTGTAATATTAATATCCATCCTTAACTCCGGGAACTCCATTTTCCTTACAATGAGACTACTACACACATGATAAGCTTTAAATGGTGTTAGTCTCAAAGATACCAACTTGCAGACTAACCTCCCCCTAAAAGTTTGCATACAAGTGTTGAATACTTGTAGGAGACATGCACTAGACTTTTAAGGTAAAAATATCACTTGTAAGATGATATTATGTGAAGCTGAGTACTTTTTATGGCTGATATTTGGGAAAGTTATATATAGTTTGGATTTTGGCACATATAAGATAAAACCAACTATAAGCAAGAGCTATGTGTCGTGCTCCAAATTAAAAAAAATTAAACCATGTAGGTTTGCTCATGTGTATGAGTGAAGCACGAGCAATCCTACCATACAATTTACCTAGTATATATATGAAAAACAAGAATTTAAACTTGCATATGCAAACCTAGGCATAAAATGAACTAGATGCTAACTGAAATTGCAAGAATTTAAATCTAGTTACCCAATATGGGAAGGAGAAGTTAGATCTAATGTCTTCAATAACCTACTTGGCAATGGCATCAGCTAATTTGATGCACTCCACAATATGCATCCAAACTTTTGCCAAGTCTCCAAATTCCCTGAAGTCTACCAGACTTCTCACTTCCCCTTCGGGACCCAAACATTTTTGGTGATCTTCAAGGTTGAGATGATGTCCCAAGGCACCCAAATTGGTTTGCTCCACTTCCTATTGGCGTTATTGTCAACCTTGATGGCCACCACTTTGGCATTCTTCTTTTTCTTCAAAAGAAAGGGTGTGGCAGCCTTCTTGTCTACTGTTGAGTACCTAACAGTGGGGTGAACAGCACCGAATTCCAAACAAACCTCACAAAGTTGCAGTCAAAGAACAGGTTTTGAATGGTCTCTAAAGAGCTACAGAAACTACACTTTACTTTCTTGCCAATTCCTTTTTGCTATGTTGTCTTTAGTAAGAGTAACTCCCTTTTTCATGTACCAAAGGAAAACCATAATTTTTCAATGGTACCCTTAAGAGAGGGGTTTTTTTTTCTGGGAGAAGTCCTTGCCAAATCATAAACCTATACATAGATCGGACTGTGAACTTGTCATTCTTATTAAGGTTCCATCGAAACACGTCATTACCATTTGTGAGGTTGACCAAGACAATTTTAGACACTAGCTCATACCAAGAAGAAAGATTGTCCTTTACTAAATCTCGTCTGAAAGACACATTAAGTGGTGCAGTCCATAGGACATTTGCCACCATATCACCTTTTTTTCTTGCTATTCTATAGAGATTAGGATAAACCTCACTAAAAGGCTTGTCTCCCATCCAATTATCCTCCCAATACTGGTACTTGATTATCAATATCACCCATATATGTATATATACATGCATGCGCTAATGAAATAATATACTAACAGTTAACGGAGATAATACTACAGTATTGCTCTTCGCCCTATATATATGTGTAGGTGCTCAGTTTTTTTTTTTTTTTTTGCCTTAGGGGAGCTTGCTATTCCAAATTTCCAATTATTATGTTCCTTTGCTGTTGAAAGGACTCGATGCTTATCACCCCACCTCAAGTACTACTACGACCCACAGCGTCAACAAAAATGCTTCTCTCCAATTCATCGTCCTAGATCCTCCGTGCTTCTCTCGCATTCGTCCTGCTAGCTCCTCCCATTTCTGGACATAGAAACATGGCACTATTTGTCGGAAACTGACAATTTATATATTTTCTCGCCAAGTACTTCTTGGAACAGCTAGCACGGGAGTCGGCAGCGCGCTGTTTGCACATGGAGCAGGAGCGCTCGACACCGCCATCGCAAGCACCATCGGTGAACCTCTCGCTGGACCTGGCGCCGCCGGCGGCACGCGGCGAGGAGACGGACGAAGTGGCGGCGCCGACGAGGTCCGTCGGCGGGAAGCAGGTGCGCCTGTTCCCGTGCCTCTTCTGCAACAAGAAGTTCCCCAAGTCGCAGGCGCTCGGCGGCCACCAGAACGCGCACAAGAAAGAGCGCGCCGCCAGCTGGAATCCGCACGTCTACGACGACTGCGACCACCACCACGCCGCAGCGGCGCGGCCGGACTGTCTCGGCCGCCGCCGCAACAGAAGCACCACCGACGCTTCCATGTGCGTCCCGATCTCCTCGCACGGCGGCACCGCCACCAGCATCAAGCTCGAGAGGCCTGACGACGGTGGGGCACCGCCTTACTACATAGACCACGTGGTGCTCCCGGCGGCAGCGGCACCCTATGACCCCTGCGCCAAGCCCGACAACGACACTGTGGACGACATGCGCATCTGGAGAAGGACCTCCCACACCTCTGCCGCCCCACCTCAGAGCGCCGACACCAACACCGCATCCTCCAGCGCCGGCGAGGAGATAGACCTCGAGCTTCGACTCTAGACCTCGAGCTTCGTCTGTGTGGGAGAGTCGGAAAGAGGCAAAGAGGTTCACACTCATTCCTTGGCTTCTTCCTTCACATATCTTGTATCTTGCCCCAATGAAGCTTCGTTCATATGGATCTTTTGCTGTGTACGTACACAGCAAAAGATACACACTGTCTATATCTTAGGAGTACATTATTAACTAATGGAATAATATGCTTGTCATGAATGCATCATGTGGTTAATTACTATATATTTGTACCACTACCATTATCGCTTTAGGAGTATATACACAGTGTGTAGTGTCGATATAAACGAAAGAAACTTGGTTGGCTACTAGACTGTATATATATTTAAAGAAAGGGTCTGTCTCTATTTCATGATTTGCTTAACCATTAGTCACCATCCCAATCTCAAGGCTTCTCTCGCACAGCGGTCGTCTTCTTTCTTGCGCGAGCGGCCGTCATCTTGACCCTCTCTGGCGCCCCTCCTCCACCACGTCCTTACCCCTGCCGCCGCACACCATGCCGCGGCGCGCTAGGGTTTCGCAGGAGCTCTACAACTGCAGAGCTCTAGCAAGACCCTAGTGCGCCCGCTCGGGCAGTCTTCTTCCCCTTCCCCTTTTTCTTCCACGGCGAGCTCAGGCCACGGAGCTCCCCCGCCCCCATGGGCGGATTTAAGGGTATTCCCCTGTATTCCTAGGAATACCGAACTAATTTGGTACACTTGTATTCAAATATGTGTATATACGTGTATATATAAATTAAATATATAATGCTATATATTCTGTAGTATTTTGCGCATTTTAGCCCAAAACAGGTAAAAAACTAGCCTTCGGCCTTGCTTCCAAATTGGCCACCTCCCCAGGCCAGTTCACCTCAGCCATGTCAGTCCTTCCTGGCCTCTCACCCTCCATCCCATGCCCCCGACCCCTTGGCACCTCACTGTTGCATACTCTCTACCTCTCACGTCTCGGTCTCGGTCACGGAACGGAACAGGTGTTGGCGGCACTAACCCTAGGTTACGTTGGCACTAACCCTAGGCTGCGGCGACAAGCACAGGGGTGGTGGCCGAGCAAGGCAGCACCGCAGCCAGCCAGCTAGCGCGGCAGCAATAGAGTGGCTAGTGGCTAGGTCACCGGGCATCAGGGGCTGGGGCTAGCAGCGCACCCGCGCCGCTGCCGCTAGTGGCCAGATCCAAGGCCGGCTGCCGGCTAGACCTGATGGCCAGGACTCTACGCACCAGGCTGCAGGTCTCCATTCTCCACTCTCCATACTCCAATTCTTGGTTGTTCAATTAGAAGTTTAGAGTTTACTGATTTATAGGGCTATTATCTATTGCAGTAATAGTATCGCTATTGGTTTGCAAAATGAAGAAGAAATCAGGTGATTTAATTTGAGGACCTTGTGGGATAGAACAGCAAAGACAAGGAAGTGGAAATATCCCAATTTTAAATCCTAGCTCCGCACTGCCCGTCCCGACCTGACCCGGCCACCTCCACGGTCGCCAGGGCCCCTAAACCGCCTAGCCGCCGTCCCCACCGCTTGGTCGTCTTTTCTCCCCCGAACCCCTTCTATGCCCGTCGGAGTTGGGAAAGAAGAGAGGAAGAGTGAGAGAGAGAGGGTGCTGAACTTACTTACGCCGGCAAGGTCCTCGCCATAACCCTAGCCAAGGGCGCATGGTGTGGTCAGGTGCGGGTGCGTCCACGGACGGATAAGCAGCATAGCAGGCCACTGCGATGGAGTATATCTGTTCAAGAAAACAACTCTGCATTACTTAGTTTATTAAGCATTGATGACAGGGCTGTAGTTGTTTCGATCCGGTTCAGTGGAGCTCATATACTATCTGAAATAACACGATTTAATATTGTCCATGGTTTATATGTATATATAAACAGAAAATGAAGTTCACTGTATGTATGGTAAATAATATATTTGTAGGAGCAGCCTTTTCTTCAAAACAAGTACTACTAACTACTTCCTCCATCTAAAAAAAATATAATTCCAACACAGTAGCTAGTTAAATAATCCCAAATTCGACTAAATATATTTAAAAATTATAAATATTTATGATATCGAATAAGTATTTTAAATTTGTCATGAGATATATTTTTATAATACACTTATTCGAGGTCATACATAATAATACTTTTAACTGTGCATAGTATTAGATTAAACTTTGAAAAGGACGGATGAATAACGTCGTACTGTACTCCCACGGTTCGGCAGTGGACAAAATATTGGAGACACGCCAACATTACGAAAAGGACGGATGAATGACATTGCACTGTACGAGGTTAGCACAGAACACACGGGTTGAATTAATAAATAATAATAAAGGAGTGGTAGCACTTATCAGTGGCTTGGCCTACCTGTGACTGTGGCGCTGAGAGAATAAGCTTTTCCGTACGACTGAATACTTGTGACTGTGGCTGAAGAGAATAAGCTTTTCCGTACGACTGAACACCACACAAATAGAGCTGTACTCACTGAATAGCTAAGCTATGCTCTGCAGCAGGGGTAAAAACCGTATTTGAGACCGAATCTGTTTAGAGTAGTTCAGATCTATCCGTATTCGAGTCTGAAGGTTTAACATCCGATACCGTATCCGTATCCGAATACTAAAATCACATATTTACGATGCTGATACCCAATCGTATCCTATTCGACGTAGCTGATACTATCCGTTTTCGAATCTAAATTCAGATAGAAATACGAAAACAAATATAATATCAGTGATATTCGTCCATATCCTGTCCGTTTTCATCTCTACTCTGGAGATTTGCTAGGATTCTGGAGGTTGTCGCACTAGACGTGTCTCAGATCCGCATCAGAGACGACGCTGAGTGGTGAATCCATGTAATTATATATATCATTCACCACAAAAGCTACTCCTTATTAATTAATTAATTATACATAAAAGAATTCTTCTCTCGCACAGTCGCACTTACTTTTATAAACAGAAAATAAAGCAAAACCCCTAAAAAAAAGCTAAGCCTTGTTTTGAGAATGCATCAATAACTAGAATTAACACTACACAAAAAATGCCCTTGTACTACTACTGGTGGAAAAATAGGCTTCGATTCCAGGGGTATTCCGGGGTGTTCCCAGGAGTACCTAACTTTTTTATGCATTCTTTAGTATATAGTATGTATACTTACATATATAAATATATAATCAAGTATTATGTGGTATTTTCGCTGGTTCTAGCCCACAACGATCAAATCGGCTTGGCTCCCAAGCTCACTACCTCTCAAAGGCCAGGCCATTGGAACCATGAGGCCTCTCCACCCCCTTCGCCCGGGCTCTTGGCGCCCTCAAGCTCTGCCCCCAACAACCCGACCCCAATACGACGACCCCCAACCATGCGGCTGAGGAAGTCATGAGTGTGAAACAATTCTCCAATCCTGATTCCCCAATCTCTAACCATTGCCAATTGGCCTGGTGAAAGGTCCTAAATGGCTAGAGGGGGGGTAGAGGGGGGGGGGTGAATAGCCTATAAAAATCTCTACAAATACACTAGAGCAAGCGGCTAGTAACTTCAATGATGAAATATAATTTTGCTCTAGCTCTACAAGAGTTGCAAGCCACCTACACCAACAATTCTAGTTGATTAATGTATCTAGATCACACAAGGCTATGTCACTAATTCTACACTAGTGAGCTAGGTAACTAGAACAACTAAATACACTAAGCTACACAACTAGCTAGCAAGAGAGCTACACTACACTACTACCTCTACAACAAGTATGAAATAAAGTAGTGTAAGGGAAAGAGGTAGGGTGATTATACCGTCCGAGGCAAGTGCTCAATCAATCAATATGAATACCAATGAACACTTGGAGATATCCAAAGAGACAAGAGAAACACGATTTTTCTCTCGAGGTTCACGTGCTTGCCGACACTCTAGTCCCTGTTGTGTCAACCAACACTTGGTGGTTCAGCGGCTAATAAGAGTTTCACAAACCTAGCCCAACACTTGTGCACCGCAAGAACCTACCCACAAGTGAGGTAGCTCAATGACACAAGCAATTGAATAGAGTACCTTCTGGCTCTCCACTGGGGAAAGTTCAAGAACCCCTCACAAGCAACCGATCGGAGTCAGAGACAATAACCAACTCCGCTCAACGATCCTCTAATCACTAGGCCGTCTAGGTGTCGGCAAACACCAAGAGTAACAAGATCACGACCAGCCCAAAGCACCCAACTAGTGCCACAAGATGATGCAACCCAATGCAATGCATTAGAGGCTCTCCAATCTCACTCAAATGATGAAATCAAGTGTGCAAGTGAGTGGATTGTGTTTGCTCAGCTCCCAAAGGGCGTGCACAAGTGTATGAGGTGCCAAGAGGGTGGCCATGGCCGGCCACACCCTCTATTTATAGCCACACAAGCAAATAGAGCAGTTATACCCCTTGGGATGCTCTGCGCGGGGGCACCGAACAGGTGGCGGCGGCACCGGACAGGAACCGGCGGTGCCCCAATGGTCACTTTCCCGTTGGTCACCGGACAAGGCATAGTGGTGGCACTGCCATGGGGGTGGTGATGACCATCCTAGCCAAGTCCCGAAAACCCCACTCTCTGGACAAATAGGCGGTGCATCACCCTAGGCACGACGGTGCCCAGGCGGTGACCAACCTAGCTTTGGCTGCTCTCGGGTGAAAAGGGACGGTGGCACCGGACACCCTATGATGGTGCATCGTCGTGCATCTGACAGTGTACACCGACACATCTAGTGACCACCCCGACAGCCTCTGCTTAAACTATGTCCATGCAGGCACCGCCCTAGGGGTGGCGGTGCACCGGATAAGGGGTGACGGTGCCATCTAGACACCACAACTTTCTCTCCCAGTTGCAAACTTTGACTTGATTCGATCCACGACAACTCGAGAAACTCACCGCAAGCAATGCTAACTCTCAAAGTGTTTTTTCAAAACATGTTAGAGCCAATGTTAGCATTTCCCAAAAACATTTTCAATAAATATTTTCGCTTGCTCTTCGATTGCGCACTAGGCCTAAA